CTGCTTCTGTTGTGTTGGCATCACTCGCTCTACTATAGACAATTCAATCATACCAGAGGGGACAGGGCCATGAGTAGCTCTGAATACCCTCAACAGAATCATTTTCCATGGGAAAAGCAATGTTGCTTCAGTATGTACCCTGAGAGAACTCTGTGTGGAGGAACACGCCTATAATCCCAGCACTTGGGAGGTTGAGGCAGGAGAATCAGGAGTTCAAGGCCAGCCTGGGCAACATAGCAAGACCCTGTGTCCAAAGGAAAAAAGAAAAAAGCTTTGTGAAGGCCAGTCACCCTAACCATATGCATTGTGACCAGCTGTTTCAGAGCTACAGGGCTGTAGAGAAACAGTTGGGGAAGGGGTTGTCATAAGTGGAGGGGAAGGGGCTGTCATAAGCAGAGGGAAAAGAAGATCCCCATTGTGCTCAGGAAGGTCACAAAGAAACCAGGGATGCAGGGGACCCCTTTCATCTTGCAGCCCTTTTTCATGTTTTTCTCCACCCCAAGCAAGCTCACTCCAGTTAGGATGTCTATATCTTGTGTGTGTGTGTGTGTGGGTTGTTATTTATTATTATTATTATTATTATTATTATTATTGTGTGTGTGTGTGCATGTGTGTGTGGTGTTCAAGCATGTGTAGAGGATAGAGGACGACTTTCAATAGTCGGCTCTCTCCTTCCACCATGTGGGACCTAGTGTTCAAACCTGGGTTGTCAGGATTGGCAGCAAGCACCCTTACCTGTGGAGTCATCTTGCTGGCCCCACAATTAAATTTTATTCAGATGTAAAGAAGAACACGATTATGCCATCTGCAGGAAAATAGATGAATGGGAAAGCATATTAAGCAAAACAATCCAGATTCAGAAAGACAAATATCACATTTTTATCATATGTGGAGCCTAAATTTTCACACACATACACACACACATACACACACACACACACACACACACACACACACACACACACACACATACATCGTAAAGTAGCGGGGGACCTTTAGGGAAGGAGACTAGTGGAAAGCAGGACGGAGGAAGAGAGGGTAATGGAGCACGAATATGGTCAAAGTACATGAAAATGTCATCACAAAACCCATTACTTTGTACAATGACTATATTCCAATAAATTTTTTTCAAAAATGAAAGAAGCAGTTCACTTTTGTTTGGCTCAGGAATAATTCTGACAGCTGCTTGACAGGAAAAAACATGCTGTGTGTATTCAGCACTTTGCATCTTGAATTCTTGGCTACACTATCATCTTCCATTAAAAAAGCCAGTTTAAGAGCCAGTGACAACTTGCAACAATTAAAGTTTCAGTTCTTTAATCTTTTAAAGCTATTAGATACTTGAGTCAGAAAACAGTTTATTCAGCCACTGCTTTTGTTTAGTAAACCACTTAAGGTAAAACACAGAAAACCCTACGTGAAGTTAGCAATTTTCAAACCGAAGCCAGCAACTATAACTGTGCCAGCATTTTCCAGTGTTCTGTGAGGTGTCAGTAGGCATTGTTAAAACCAAAAAGGAGTCCCAAGTCAGGTCTGTGTGGGAAGCCCTGCAATCCGAGGCCTTTATGACATGATGATAACAGGCAGAACTCTCTTCAAAGTGGGGCATGGAGGGAGTGTCCCAAGCATCTGACCAAATTCTGTCAGAATAACTGAAACGTTTGGGTTTGGGTTCTAATGAACACACGTATGGAAACTGCCCTTTTCCTTTCTAAACCCAGCTTCTGCAAGGTTCAGACTCGTTGGACATTCCATCTACTTGAAGTAAAACTAGTTTTTATTTTCAAATGCCTAAAGTAGTTGTTTCTAAAACATAGGACACTTTGGAGTCTACTGAAAGTTTGACTATTCTTGTAACAAATTTTATGAATTTAACCTAATATAAGAATGAACAAGACAATGAGATGTATCAAAACTACTTATGACTTGGAGCATATAGATTTTCACTGTGATGAGAAGTGGGTGCCCACTGGGCAGGTTTGTTTAGTCTCTAGGTCTCCAGCCAGTGGTTTGAAAAGCTACAAATGAACACACATGGACACTTGTAGGATGCATGCTTATCTGTAATTGGATACTTTCCTGAATAAGAGATAAGCAGGTTTCCCAACCCATCCTACACTGAATCCATAAACAGCCTGAACTCCTGATTTCTAATCATAGCATTGAGAGATGAAGAGTGTTTTCTAGTCCTAGCTATTGAAAAACAGTAGAGGGGGGACTGGAGAGACAGCTCAGCGGTTAAGAGCACTGACTGCTCTTGCAGAGGACCAGGGTTCGATTCCCAGCACCCACATGGCAGCTACAAACCATCCTTAACTCTAGTTCCAGGGGAATCTAAAGCCCTCTTCTGACCTCCACAGCACTGCACGACACTGGTGCACTCACATACACATAGGCAATACACTCATATGCATAAAATAAAAATAATTAAAAAAAAACACAGAAGAAGTCAGAGCTGTAAGGTTACCCTAGAGACAGGAAATACTGAACTACTCTTTCTTTCTGTTATTTTGCACAATGATCCCCTCAATTAATCTGTAAGGCTAGGGTCTACAAAGTGTACTTGAGTTGCAAGGGAGCTATTAAAATGAGATGGGATAAAACGGGTCAAATTGTTGCATACATTTCTCCTAGATATTACCTTATTGACATTAAATATGAAAATAATGTGTAAAATGACATAATACTTGGTATCATTCAAGAAATTCAAGTTTTGGTCTTTTCACCAAAATGGCGTTGTGTTAAGCAATTAAAACATCAAATAGCCAGGTGTGGTGGCCTATGCCTTTAATCCTAGCACTCGGAAGGCAGAGGCAGGCAGGTCTCTGTGCTGTCAAGGCTATGCTGGTCTACACAGGGAGTTCCAGGCCAGCTAGGGCTTCAGAGAGACCTGTCTCAAACAAAAATCAAACAGGGGCTGGAGAGATGGCTCAGTGGGTGAAGTGTTGCTTTACAAGCCTGCAGACCTGAGTTCATGTAAAAGCCTCAGCACCCATGTAAAAGCCAGGCAGTGGTGCCCATCTGTAACTTCAGAACTAGGTGAGCAGGGGCATCCCAGGGCTTGTTGGTGGGCAAGCCTGGCCAAACAGTGTGCTCCAGGTTAAGTGAGAGACCCTAGCTCCAAAAAAGGTAGAGTGTGAGTGAGGAAGACACCCAAGGCCAACCTCTGGCCTCCACGTGCACACAATGGCACATGCACCCACACAGATGCATGCATACACAAAGAATTTCAAATATGAAAAGAATTGTAGGAGTGAAAATATTATATACAAAAACTATAGGGCTGATGAAATTCACTAATATTAACTTTTAGTTTATTAGTGCAGGTTTAAAAAGAAGGAGGAAACTGAGAAGAGGTTTCCATACACAGTTTCTAAGCAGTTTAAGTAAAAAGACTTCAATTTGCACACATTATACAGATCATTGAGGGAAATATCCTAATCCTAATTTGTGGCAGTTTCCCACCAATTCACTTTATGCCCTGTAGATCTTTTACCATGATCCAACTCTGGTGTCCTTATCCTAGTCTATGCTTTTTATTCTTTTTTTTTTTTTTTTTTTTTTTTTTTTGTCTTTTTGAAACAGCTCCTTCCTGTAGCCCCAGCTGTCCTGGAACTTGCTATGTAGACCAGGCTGGCCTCGAACTCAGAGAGACCTGCCTGACTGTGCCTCCCAAGTGCCGGGATTAGAGGCGTGTGCCACCACACACAGCTATATTGGTTTTAACTTGAGACAAATTTCTGAGCGTGTCTGTGAGGAACTTTGCCCATTAGGTTAATTGAGGAGCAATGACTCATTCTGAATGTGGGCAGCACCAAACTAAAAAAAAGGAGAAAGCCAGCTGAGCAGTAGAGTTCATCTCTTTCCGCTTCCTGACTGCAGATGCAACATGACCAGGTAGGTGCTCAAGCTCCGGCTGCCCGGCCTTCACAATGTGATGGACTGTCCTATCAAACTTCTAGCCAAAACAAACTTTAAGCTGCTTTTGTCAGGTATTTTTCTGGAGCAATGAGACCCATAACTAATACACAAACTAATACAATTCTATGCAGCTCTGGAAGTTGTTAAACAAAAATTTCCATGAAAACAAAATCTTTTAAAAAATTATTTTATGAATTTTTTTGCCTGCAGGTATATGTAAGTGCACCATATGCACTCAGTGCCCACGGAGGCCAGAAGAGGGCACCGGATCCCTGGATCTGGAGTTACAGCTGGCAGTTACCATGTGAGTGCTGGGAACCAAACCTGGGTCCTCTGAAAGAGGCAGCCTGTGTTCTTAACCATTGAGCAATCTCTCCAACCCCTGAAAACTAATTTTAAATGAGCAGGACTCACTGGGCTTAATTTCTACCCTCTAAACAGAAAACATCTAACAAGAGCATTTTTATCTGTTTATTTAGTTATAACAAAAATACAACAATGCATACCAAATGGAAAAAGATATTAAAAATGATGATAAAATACTTAGTAACAGAAATGACCATATCTGAAGGAATTACCCTGGTGTCATTAAAATACACTTGCAACTTATAATTGGTTATTAGTGTAAGTTAAATTAGTAGTTAAGTTCTAGTTCATGCCTACAAGTTATCAAAACATTTTTAAAATGTTACATAAAAACTGACAATATCCAAAAATATTATATAAACACAAAACAGAACTTTCAGAAAAATACGTAAATGTACCGAGGTAAAATGCAAATCACACTTTGTCATGCCAAACATACTCACTTGTGTGTCCTCACATGCCCTCCTGAGGTGTCTGTATTTTGCATGTTCCAAGAGAGAATAATGTTATTATATATTGGTGCAAATTCTAGCCACAAGCATAACTACTTTAGATTTTACTATCCCTGCAATGAAACAGCAGGAGTCCAGTGTCACTAATGAAACAGGAAGACGGGAATGGCATTTGGCTCTGACTCTTCAAATCATGGTGGAAAACTCTTAGCAAAGCATTCTAAGCTTTTTTTTTTTTTTCTCACACCAACTGACCCAGAATATATTTTAAGAAATATTTATTTTCTGTGCATATTTGTTTTAAATTATAAATTCCTGAGCACTTTTTCTTCTTCTTCCTCATCACTGTCAGTGACATTGACTTGCTGAAGGCCAGAGGGAGCTGATGCTGGGGCTGTGAAGACGTTCTCCAGGGTTCCAATGTCCAGTGGGGACATGGGGTTCAAGTACTGCTCCCCACTGTGGCCGTGACTGTTGCAGTAAGGAGACCCATCCATGATCTCACAGCTCCGCGAGTCTTCCCTGTGTGTGTGCTCATCTGGGTAGTCTCTGAAAAGATAGTCTCTATTTAAAGCAGAAAATACAGCCTCATGCTGGTACCTGTCTTCATAATAACCAAGACATTCTGGCATTGAACTTGGAAAGTTTCCATAGCCAAAAGGAGGCCGACTATAAGGGCACGTGCTGTGGCAGAAAGATAAAAAAAAAAAAAAAAAAAAAAAAAAAAAAAAAGTCAGGTCTTGCCCACATATCACCCGGCACACAGACTGACTAACTGCATTTTCTTTAGGACATGGAAAGGTATTCATCTGCTGTCTCCCCACTGTCCATCCCATCCCAACCCAGAATTCATAGCAAAGGAAGCTTATGATAGAATAATCCCCAGCTTTTATTACCTCCTATTAGTCTCTGGCATCTTACCTTTGAAGACGTTAATAGAGAAGAAATGATTATCTAGGCCTCTTACACTATCTCACACCAAGTGAAATGAAATATAAGAATAATGTTATGTTATGCTAAAAAAATGGCACAGTGATAACTATGGTGCAGCACTTGATTTGAGAGCGGTGGGGATGTGCACAGATGGGTTGAAATGAAGAGCTCCTCAGACTGAAGCTCTGGAATAGAGGACCACCGCTTCATTTTTAAAAGATTTATTTTTATTAGTTTCAATTATGTGTATGTGAGTGTCTGTGTGTCTGTGTATATGAGTGCAGGTGCCCACAGAAGTTAAAGGCATTGGATGTCCTGGAGCTGGAGTGTGTGAGCTGTTCAACACAAATTGTAGGAATCAAACACAGGTCCTCTGCAAAAGTATGTTCTCTAACCGCTAAGCCACAACTTTAGTTTTAAAATGGCACAATAACAAAGTAAATTTAGAACTCTGCCATAAAGATCTAGAGCTAATATTATACTATGGTTTTAAAGAGCTTTTGCCAATTTTTTTACAAGAAAAGAATGTGAAGAGAAGACCTTTGCAGTTCTGCAAACTGATTTTTTTAAAAGGTAAAGCTAATATTTTTGTAACTCAAAACCATTTGCCAATTTTAAGTATTATTTTCCTCTTCTGAGAACCGGAATTACACACGAGTTGGGCTCACGGGCTCCACCTAGTGACAGATAACACAATGATCACACTAGCCAAACCCACAGCATGCTAGGTGCTTCCCGCTTCTGCAAGGAAAGGAAGGAGGAAAGGAAAAGAAGAAAAGGAGAGAGAAGGGAGGGGAGGGGAGGGGAGGAGAGGAGAGGAAAGGGCAGGGAAGAGAGGCAATTTTCTTTCCTTTCAAAAGCACGATTGATGTACTAGACTACTATCTCAAAGTCTCTGAGGTGATCCCACCCACAAATCTTGAAGTTCTAGATAACTTGCTAATGTTAAATAACAGAAATATGAAGCAAAGTTTGCAAACTTTTTCAGGTTTGCATTCTCTTTTTAGTTTTTATTTTATGTGTATGAATGTACTGCCTAAATGTATGTAAGTGCACCCCTGTTGTGCAATGCCCACAGAGATCAGCAGAGGATGTTGAATCCCTTGGGACTAGAGTTACAGTTGTTAGCCACCATGTGAGTGCTGGGAACCAAACCCAGGTCCTCTGCAAGAGCAGCCAGTACTCTTAATCACTGACACATCTCTCCAGTCCCTGCATTCTTAAAAAATGTTTTTGATTTATTTATATTTATTTATTTTTTACAAAAACTTTATTGAGAATTTCATACATGCATATAAGGTGTTTTGATCAAATCCATGCCCACTCCCTCCCCTCCAACATTCCCCCCTCTGAAGAGGTAATCCTAAAATCTTTTAAGGATTAGGTACAAGCTCCCAAACACTTTTGACATTTTTGACCTTTGGAACAGAGTATGTTGCTAACAGGCCCAAGGATGTTTTGACTTTTAGCCAAGAAACTGGCTACATTTCTTTGGGGTCTTTTTACCCTAAGTGCCTAGCCAATTCCTACCTCCTATTCTTATCACACCATCCTCTGAAGGGGTTACCTTCAGAGTATGAAGATTTCTTCTCTCTCTCTCTCTCTCTCTCTCTCTCTCTCTCCTCTTGAAGTTTGTTAACCAGCATCACAAATGACTATACTGTGTGGGAAAGACAAGTCAGTGCTATGTTCACAGAACAACAACAACAACAAAAGTAATTAGGACAAAGGTGATCCAAGAAAGTTACCTGGATGACAATGAGCAAGTATAAAAGCATAGCATTTCACCAGGAAAAGCAACAACTACAATGATTAGAATAGTAATATTAGCCAACATAGAATAAAAATGTATCATGCTTTCCAAGTACTGGCTAAGGGTTTCATATAGTGCAAATGGACCTTACAGACATTTACAGCATGGTTTATCCAACAGGAACAGAAAACATATTCTCATCAGCACACAGAGCATTCTTTGACTAATATAGTAGCCAGCCCTGAATCAAGTCTTAATAAAAAATAAAAAATTGAAATAATATGTATCATCTCAGACCATGGTAGAATAAAAATACAAATCAACAACAAGGAGAATGAAAAGTATTAAGAAAAATTGTCACTGAATAACGTAAATCAAATGGATAATTGAAGAAAATTTCTAAATTCTTAGTGAGAAATGGAAATAACCTATTAAAAATCTGTGGAGCCAGGCACAGTAGTGCATGCCTTTAATCCTAGAACTTGCCAGGCTAGGGTAGGCAAACCTCTCTGAAATTGAGGCCAGCCTGGTCTACATAGTGAATTCCAGGCCAGTTGGGGCTACAGGGAGACCCTGTCTAAAAAGAAAATCTATGGAATATGAAAAAAGCAACAATGAGAGAAATGTGTACAGCAGCATCTACGTACATCAAAAAATAAATAAAACATCAAATAAACACGCAACAGGGAATCTTAAGGACTTAGAAAATAAGAACCTGAACAAAAGTTAGTATTCGGAAATAAAAGAAATAAAAAAATCAACACTAAAGAAAAAGATCAGAGCTAGGAGTGGTGGCACATGCCTTTAATCCCAGCACTCGGGAGGCAGGGGCAGGCGAATCTCTGTGAGTTCGAGGCCAGCCTGGTCTACATAGTGAGTTCCAGAGCAGCTGCTGGAGCTACAGGGAGATCCTGTCTCAAAAAAAGCAAAAAAAAAAAAAAAAAAAAAAAAAAAAAAAAAAAAAACCAGGAAGGAAGGAAGGAGGGTAGGTCAATGACTACCACAACTCAAACTCAAATAATAAAATCAGAGACGAAAAAGATGTCACAAGATATTACAGAAATACAGGGATACGGAATCACCATGGCAAATTACATTCTAAAGTAACTAGAAAACCTAGAAGAAATATTCATGAACACATACCATCTACCAAAATCTAGTCAAGAATAAATAGAACCTGTGCATGGTACAAATGTCTGTTATCCCAGCACACAGAAGGATGAAGCAGGAGAATGCAAATTTTGGCTAATTAGGGTTCTCTAATGAGTTCAAAGGTAGCCTGGGTTACACAGAGAGACCCAGCTCAAAAACCAAAATCAAGAGGAAGAAACGAGAGCTGGAGAGATGGCTCAGCAGTTAAGAGACTGACTGCTCTTGCAGAGGACCCAGGTTCGAATCCCAGCACCCACATGGCGGCTACGAACCATCCTTAACTCCAGTTCCAGGGGAATCCGAAGCCCTCTTCTGACCTCCATGGCACTGCATGACACGGGTGCACTCACATACATGCAGGCAATACACTCATACACAAAAAATAAATATTAAAATATTTTTTAAAAAGTTTTTTAAAAAAAGGAAGAATTGGAGACGACAGTAGCGAGAAGGAAGGGAAGGAGGGAAGAAAGGAAAGGGGAGGAAATCTAAACAAAAAGACCCATATTGGTAATGAGATTGAAGCCATAATTAAGTCTCTAATATAAAGTAAGTCCAGGACCTAGGATTGACTGCCAAATTTCACTGTGCATTTTAAGAACTAATTCTTTTTTTTTTTGGACAGGTTCTCTCTGTAGCCCTAGCTGGCCTGGAACTCACTATGTAGACCAGGCTGGCTTTGAACTCACAGAGATCCACCTGCCTCTGCCTCCCAAGTGCTGGGATTAAAGGCGTGTACCACCATACCCAGCCTAATTCCAATTCTTTATAAACCATTTCAGAAATTTGAAATGTTATAAATTCTGCCAAACTCTTTTATAGGGCCAGCATACCCTGATACCACAGCCAGAAAAACATAATAAGAAAACTATAAACCCATTGCCTGGATGAAAATAGACACAATAGATCTCAATAAAATACTAGTGAACTAAATTCAACAGTACATTAAAAATATCACACACCATGATCAAGTAGAATTCAAGGATGGTTCAACATATACAAATCAATAAGCGTGAGGCAATATACCAACAGAATTAATGACAGTAAGTATATGACTACTGCAATACAGAATATCCAGTAAGATTCAATATCTCTTCATGGTAAAAACTCCCACCAAACTATGTTTAGAAGATCATCCTCAAAATACTAAAGGATATCTGTGACAAATCTATAGCCAGCATGATATTAAACGAGGAAAGCCGCAGACATTTTCTCTAAGAATGGAAATGCAAGCAAAATAAAGGTGTTGGTTTTCACCACTCTTATTTAATACAGTACTGGCATGTCTCAGCAAAAAACAGTAAGAAAAGCAAAACTAGAATGTTCAGCTTGGAAACAAAGAAGTTAAATTATGCATGCTTGCAAATGGACATAACAGTACACATAGAAAAACCTAAACGTTCCATCAAAAAGCTGTTAGAACTGATACATAAATTCAGTAAAGCTTGATATACACACACAGAAAAAAAATCAACAAGTTAAAAATTATTATATTTGAGGAGGAAGCATAAAAGTTTACGTCGTGTTAATTAGTAGAGGTGATGAACATAACCATTAAAATCTATCTGATGACTTTATAGACATACACAGGTACCAAGGATCCAAGTGCAAATGATTATGACTAGTAATAATTAGATACATACAGATGAAAGACACATGCGCCAACATCTCAGTGTTAGTAGCAAAAACAATGAGTCTTTCTGTAAGAAACAGTATATTTTAGAATGAAATGGAGATCTTTTTTGAGGGTTAAAAAGTCATTCAATTTTATGTCTTACAGGGCTTATACTGAATTCAATGTTGTATAACTGTATTGATTCAACAGCAAACCTAGAAATTGTATAGT